CTCTTGCTGTGTCTCTCTGTCAAATAAATAAATAAAATCTTTAAAAAAAAAAAGAAAGAAAGCTTAGCAAAACTGCCCGCAGTTACGTAGAATTGATAAGGGATGAACCTGTTATATAGCGAAGGAGATTTCTGGGCAGTGCTGAAGTGGCTGCCAGCTCTCTTCCCAATACTCACAGTAGAACCCAAGAGGAGACAGAGTTACACAAAAATGAAGTAGGACTAAATGATTTAGAAAATTCTCAGCCTCTCCAGATGGCAAAAGGTGCTAAAACTCAGAAGGGCTGCTGAACGTGTGGCACAGAGAGAAGGCCCAGTATGTGACTGCACCACCTTTTGTTAGAACCTCAAAGCGATCAAAAGGTCAGGACATTCAGCCCCGCTGAGGGCCCTTTCAAGAGATTAGGGGTGTGGGCACCTCAAAGGTCTTCTCAGCTGAGCCTGGGGCATCTAGGAAGCTTGCAGAGAAAAAGAGAGATCTGTGGAAGTGGCTTGTCTAGTGATGTAAAAAGCAATGAATTCATACAAGATGCCCAAAGTTCTCAAGAAAATTATTTCAGCAAAAAGCCTGCCACCTTGGACTAAAAAGGGACAGTGAGCGTACACAATGAAAGGAGAGTCTTGGGGCGCCTGGGTGGCTCAGTTGGTTAAGCGACTGCCTTCGGCTCAGGTCATGATATTGGAGTCCCAGGATCAAGTCCCGCATCGGGCTCCCTGCTCAGCAGTGAGTCTGCTTCTCCCTCTGACCCTCCCCTCTCTCATGCTCTATCTCATTCTCTCTCTCAAATAAATAAATAAAACCTTTAAAAAAAAAAAAAAAAGAAAGGAGAGTCTTGGACCCCCAAAACTCCACTGCGGGGTGCAGACTGGTAAAACTACTCCATCGCAACCATGTCACCTTTCCTAAAAAAGGAAGGAGGGCAAGAGTTGGGGAGCTGTGTGCCCAGAAAAAAGAGGTAAGAGTTCCAGAGGATTCTTCCCAATCTAGCCAGGTCTTGAAGCTGAGTCCAGAGAAGCAAAACATTTACCTGGCTAGATTTCAAAAGCGTTATGGACCCATGGCTCCTTCCGACCTTCAAGTCCCCCTGTCTGAGATGGAATGTCTGTAACCATTGTCCCGCGCCTTACCACTGCCGTGTGCTGGCCGTGGCGGGGCTGAGAACCTGTCCCTTGGCTTCCAGGCCCACAGGTGGTAGGGAACCATGTCCTGGCTGCTGCACCTGCTGGGGGACACCCAGGAGCCCTCATCTGGACCTGGACCTGACTTAGATTTTGGACTTTCAGCTGATTCAGATGATGCAATTTTGGACTTTGTACTCATACAGTAATGAGATGAGACTCAGGAACCTGGGGAGGGAGTGAATGTATGTTTCACGTGGAAGGGGCGTCAACTACTTGGGGGCCAGAGGGTGGGCTGTGGTAGGCAGAAGGCTTAGACAAGCTCCACGTTTCCTGCCTCCTGGCGAACATGCTCTGTGTGGTCTCCTCCCCTGGAGTGGGGGCAAGAACTGGGAATGTGATGGGATACCACTGCACTGGAGAAATTTTGTGGATGTAATTCATGTCTTGAATCAGATGACAAAATTTAAGTTAAGAGATGGAAGATTATCCGGGGTCAAACTGACCTAATCAAGTGAGCCCTTAAAAGAGCTAAGAATAAGCAACAGGCACTCTCCCACAGGCCTTAAAGAAGCAAACTGTCACGTTGTGGAGAGGGCCACACGGCAGGGAGCAGAAAGTGACCTTTTAGAGCTGAGGTACTCAGTTCTGTGGCCCCAGGGAACTGAATTCCACCAACAACCAGGGAGCTTGGAGGAGGACCCTGAGTCTCAGGTGAGATCACAGCCAAGGTGGACAGCTCAACTGCAGCCTTGGGAGCCCCTGAGCAGAGAATCTAGTCAAGCCATGCCCCAAATCGGACCTACAGAAACTGCAAGATAATGTCTTTAACGTTTTAAGCTGCTATGGTACAAAGGCTTCAAAGCAGTTATTACAAATATACTCAAAGAGTGTTTAAAAACTATATTCAAAGAACTAAAGGAAAATGTGCTTGTAACAATGAGTCAAATTTCAAACACAGAAACTGGATACTACGAAAAAGAAACAAGTGGATATTCAGAGGTGAGAAGTACAATAACCGAAATAAAATGACTGTGTAACCTCAGTAGCAGGTTTGAGATGGCAGAAGTCAGATGAACTTAAAGAAGACAGATAGGCTTTATTCAATTCGAAGAATAGAGGGGCAGAAAAAATAATGAAGAAAAAATGGCTGTAGACCTTCCCAAACTGATTTTAAAAACATTATATTCCCCAAAGCTCAACAAACCCTAAGTATGATAAACACAGACCACATCTAGACATATCTTAAACCACTGAAAGCCAAAGAGACTGAAGAGAAAGAGAATTTAAGGTCAAAGAGAAAATCTTAAAAGCAGCAAGAGAAAAATGGCTCATCACATACAGGTAACCAAATGATTAGCAGATGACCTCTCACTCAAAACAAAGGCAACACTGAGGTGGTATAATCTCAAATTCACAGTGCTGAAGGTGGTGGTGGGGACCCTGTCAACTAGCACTCTCTATCCAACCAAACAATCTTCCAAAAAACTGAAGGTAGAATAGAAACATTCCCAAATAAATAAAAACTGAGACTGTGTTGCTAAAAGATCCATCCTAGATGAAATACCAAAAAGTTTTTACACTGAAATAAAATGACACCAGAGGGGACTCAGATTCACAGGAAGTAATGAACAGCATGGAAATGATACAGATGTGGGTAAATATAAGAGACTGTGTGTATACACACACACACACACACACACACGTATATATTTTCCTCTTTTCTTCCTATTCTTTAAATAATTAAAATAATTTAAAGTAATAATTACATCATTTGATTGACTTTATAACATATATGTATGTCTACAATAACACAAAGGAAGGGGTAGGAAATGGAGTTACACTAATACAAATTTGCTAAATTTTACTGGAATTAACTCGATACTCTACTGAAGAAGTTTGTGGTAAATTCGGGAAGCATTCTGCAATCCTTAGGGTAACTAAAAAATGTAGCTAAGAAATCAACATTCTTGAGGACATTCTTATCCCCATGATGCAGATGAGGAAATGAGTCCAGGAAGGTGAAATGACCTGCCATAGCTAAGGCTGGCCCCCAGGAGTCCTGGCTCCGCGCACCAGGACTGGGGGCCAATTCACACCTTCCAGTGGGTCAGGTGGAGACACCCAGGCTCAGATTCCCCATCCATCAGTGAAGGGAAATGTTCTTCAAAATGTAAATTGCCATCCAGGCTGTAAAAATACTTCCCTTGACACCCTAAAAATATTATTTGTATTAGTTTTCTACCCTAAAAATCACCACATGTAAGTTGATAGCAGGAGTAAGAAGGATGACTCTCAAACCAAACTGATTAGTGGCGGTGCCCAGTGAATGTACACAAAAATGCATGTGTAGCCTCCTTGCACTTTTTTTTAAAAATATTTTATTTATTTGACAGAGAGAGCACAGAGGGAGAGAGAGGGAGAAGCAGGCTCCCTGCTGAGCAAGGAGCCCGATGTGGGACCTGATCTCAGGACCCTGGGATCATGACCCGGGCCAAAGGCAGATGCTTAACCGACTGAGCCACCCAGGCGGCCCCTCCTTGTACTCTTTATGGATTTGGTCAGCATCCATTTTACGCCTGCCTGAATGGTCTTCCCACGCCCTGGGAGGGGCTGACACCCCTTCATCCAGCTCAGACTGACACGCAGAAAGGGTAAAATATGCAGAACATAAAATTTCTCACTTTAACCACTTATGAGAGAACTGAGCTATGCTGCAAGGGGCTCATACCATAGTCCTGCCTGCCAATGAGCTATTTAATCCCATAAAGATAAAATAACTAAAGTACTTAATATTTATTTTTGAATAAACACCCACTGATGCTTATTGTGCTTCACATATTATAACGTGTTATTTATGAAACTAGAAATTGAATTAGCCCATACTGCATGCCAGGGACTAAACTAAGCCCACATCTGCTCTGTTATTTCATTCTCGTGACTCCCTTCCATGCTTGGTTTCATTATTCTCATTCTACAGAAGAAGAAACCCAAGTTCAGAGTGGCATCAGATTGATGCTAGCCAGGTCAGCTGGAGTCGTTCTGGGTGATTGTTAAACTGGACCCCCCAGAGAAGGCAGGATGTTTTAAAAAAGAGCCTGAGGGCACACAGGTTGATACTTTTTAGTCAAGTGCGCCTGCATCTTCGTCGCTCACATCTGATTGGCTACAAAAGCAAAGATCTGCAATGTCTTCCTATTGTTCTTCGAATTGTTCACAGTGATGTCATCAGGTTGACAAGATCCCAGAAGTGGATCTGGGCTAGTTTGGCAGCAGCTACTACCGCACAGAACTGAACACAGGTGTAAGGACCAAATACTATTAATGAACACATTTGAGGAAAACTTCGTTTCGTATAGCACAGTGCATTTCCCCTGGATGCCAATGTGTAATTAAAATGTAAATGACACAAACGTGTTTTAAAGTCACGGAGGTGATTTCTGAAAGCCCCCAGCCATGACACAGCGAGGCACTGTCTAGAGGTCACCGTGTGTGCTAGAAGCTGACGGTGACTTGCTAAGTCGCACTGTGCCTTTGAGATTTCAGCTTCGGTTAGTCCTCTTTAGCTAACAGAGATGTTCGCTGGAGTCTTCACTATGGTGATGACACATAACCAAACAGCATTCCTTATTTAAATAAACCTGGAATATCTCAACAATGTGAAGGAATCAATACAATGTTCCTAGTGTCCATCTGTCTACACTGAGAAAAACTAACCCAATGTTTGAGGTGTTGTCAGTTTATGTAGAGTATGCTACATGAGTCTAATTTCCACCCACACAAACATCTTAATGCCTGGGAATCCTTGCAGACACCAAAAATAGAATATTTACCTTTTTTTTGCCAGGGATTGTAACTGAAAGGCATGACAGTAGAAGACACATCTTTATAGAAAAATATTTAAAGGTTTTAATTCTCTGAATACCAAGAGTTAACATTTTATGACTACCCTTTGAAAATAGGGTATTTGGGAGCAATTTTCTAGTTTTCAAAATCAGTACAAAGCTTCTTAAATCCAACATCACTTTCACAGGTTGTAAAGTGACTTCCTTATGAAAGGAAAGCAGCCAGCTTTGGGGTGGGTCTGTCACTGGACTCTGCTGAGTCTCTCTTGGGCAGAGTCCAGGGGCCTTCCCACTCCTTCCATGAGCTCCTTGTACCACGATGCTTTATCACATGTGTTCCTTGAAGAACCATTTCTGATGTTCGGAGTCGGTGCAGTCCCGCAAGAGGGGTACAAAACTGTCACTACTGAACGCCTTCCTCTCAGCCTGAATGCATTTATTGGACTGTGCGTGAAATAACGAACCATCCTACAAGAGATAATAACTGTGGATATTTAAGAGAAATGCAAATAATTCCCCAGAAAATATCTTTTTCCTTACAATGTGTTCTTAAGAGCTCAGGTGATTTTTATCACTTCAGAAGCATTTAGTGAGAGCTAAGTATCTGCTCTGTGCTAAGGTGACTCGGGACCACACGTACATAGGGAGGGCCAGGCGTGTGCAGGTGTGGTAGGCTCCCCTGTCGCCGGAAGCTCAGCTCCAGGGTCCCCAACTCCACTGTCAGGGCCGGTGGTGCCACCTGCTGGCCACTCTGGGGATCTGTCAGACTCCACGTCTCTTCCCTACTGCTCTTCTTTCCGTTCAGGGAAATCAGGATCAAAGATCCCTTATTATCCTCTTTCACTTCCCTCAGGTCAACTAATTACATCCCTGGTGGTCTCTTTCTTTTAGGTTTTTAAATGCAGACTCAGGAAACTTGGCTGTAGTCCCAGCTCGGCCAGAGAACAGCTGGGTGAGGGGAAGTCACCAGCGAGGCCATGGGTTCTGTGGGACCGTGCCCATTTCCCCAACCCCAAAGATCATGGTCCTCTTTAACGCCTTCTCTTCTTTTTCTCAACTGTTGCTGGGTTAACTCAGAAAGCCTCTCCCCCGGTCCTGGAGTTTTTTTCCCCTCCACCTGTCTCTGTCATAAGCTGTACACCCCCAGGGAACTTCATCGTGGCTGAGGAGCAAATGGGCAGAACGAGTGACATACCTGTTCTAGGGAAAGAGAAACTTTGGAAATAGAATTGTATGCAGAAGAATCTCAAAAATATTAACCTTTAAAACCCTTAAGAGAGCTCCCCAGTTGCCCTCAGAGTACCAAGAAAGAAAATGATTAAATACAGCCTCCTTTCTCCCACCCTGCTAAGGAAACTTACTGTTCCTTAAATGGTCACTGAAATTTAAGATAAAATTTTAATGACGTTTCAAACCAATTTTATGATTTCTAGCTTGCATGACTCTTCCTCGAGGGCTTACAAACAGCTTCCAGTTAGAAGAAAGAAGAGAAGGAGACGGGGGCGGGCACTGCAGAGAACCACAGACTGGGGGTGTCTTCCCTCTTATTTTTTATATATCAGATGGATAGCACCATAGTGCAAGGCTTGTCCAGGTAGCCTGCAGATTGCATAGCTAATCATAATATCGTCTACAGGAAAATGGACTCCAGCTTCTAATCATACTTAGAATTAACCCATTTATAAGCAACAGAGACCAATCTTTCCATCCCTGGAGCCAGGCTGGGAATGAAAGCTTCCTATGGAGATAAAAGAGAACTAATTTTTTCTTGTGAATTATTTTCTTTGGATTTATTCCCTCATGTGCTTTTTCGTGAGTCAAAGGATCTGACAGATTCACGAGTCCCATTACGGCTGTGTGTGTGTGTGGGTGGGCGGGGGGGTAGTGCCTTTCAGGCCTGAAATAATACCCAGTTTCAAATCCACAATAACTATTCTGATGGAGAGCCAACTCCCTGAGAAGGATGTTTTCTTGGTGTTTTCTTATCCTGCAAGTAACAGCTGATCCCTATAGAGCTTCATGGTTTCCAAGGACAATTTCTGCCACACATCTAGTCCTCCATGATCGCTCCCATTTTACAGCTGGGAAAAATGAGGCTTACAGACATGGAGTAGCTCATACCTGGGTCTAACCTCACATCCTTCATCATTTCAACCCCATTTCATCTTCGAATGTGTTTGCAACAGCTCCTCTTTCCATGACTGTGGCTCCAGGTTTAAGGAGGGTGGGACGACTGGAGGGGAGCCAAAGTGCTACTGATGCTGGGTGCTGATGCTGGAAGTGGGACCCCAACCACACTGCTAGCACCTTGGGGTAAGTCCTGGGTCTCCTGTATGTGGCTGCACCCCTGAGACCCGAGAGGACTAGGCTGGGGAGCTCTACTTCTACTCCCCCCTCGGCAGCCCGTGGACCAACAGCGTGGAAGGCAGGAGACAGCCCACTCACCTCCTGCAAGATGAACTTCTGATTCTCTGGGGCAGTTTCCTGGCAGAGATGCATGACGAGGGTGTCCGTTCCTGCCTCCACAGTGATGCAGGCCTCTGGCTGGTGGGTGTTATAGCGTATTTCCTTCTGGGACGTGTACTCGAAAAACTAAAAATGGAGCAACCAACGTGCACCAGTTACTGTCTGATGTGGAAAGAGGGAGATCGCTGGACGAGAACCTGGGGAGACTCCAGGTTGGAAGAAACTCTAATCCCACTCCTCCTGGCACTTTGTCTCCTCCGTCCTCCACGGGCCCTGCCCTGCTGGTGTATCTGCCTGCTTGGGCTGGGGTCCTGTTCCAGGCCACAGACCTTCCAGGACTCACTCTCTGGCCCAGCCTGAAGCTCAGCACTTCACCCAAACAGACCTGCCCAGGCCACCGGCAATTACCCTAAACACTGCATGGCACTGTGCATCAAAACACAGATTTCTGTTTAAGCATTAATTCTAAGGAAGTCATCTGAAATGCAGATCTGTTGTTTTTTCCTTTTTATTTTTTTTTCTGACAAGAAGTTAGTGGCAGAGTCACTTAAAATTGCAAAGACAGGCAGGCAGGGACTCAGTTATAACTAAATAGTAATATAGCCACATGAAGGATTATCAAGAGGCCCTTAGGAATGATAGTCTCAAAGGATGTCTAATAACACAAGAAAAGTATGATGAAGTAAGTGGAAATAATGGGATAGAAAATCTATAGACATTATGATAATAACTATTTCAAACAATAATCCAAAGGCCTTGCATACAAAAAGATGGGAAGTAAATATGTCTTCATTCTTATGACGGTTGTTGGGACCTGTCATTCACTTACTGCTTCTATTTTGTATTTTCCAAATGTTCTGCAATAAGCATATATTACCTGGATCATGCAAAAAATGACAAATGTTTTATTTTTTAATTTTTTTTTACTCTGATCTTTATTATTAAATGTTTAATTTTTTTTTTAAAGATTTTATTTATTTATTTGAGAGAGAGAGAATGAGAGACAGAGAGCACGAGAGGGAAGAGGGTCAGAGGGAGAAGCAGACTCCCCGTTGAGCAGGGAGCCCGATGTGGGACTCGATCCCGGGACTCCAGGATCATGACCTGAGCCGAAGGCAGTCGCTTAACCAACTGAGCCACCCAGGTGCCCAAATGTTTAATTTTTTTAAAATGGAGATTCATACCAATAGTCCCTTGAGCATATAGAGCCTCCTGCTGTCTGCTGTCCCCTGGCCCAAGAATGTTAAGCTAGAGAAGCAGCACCTACCTGGTTCTGACCCATTCCGTGACAGAGGTATAGAAGGACCTGGTGTCCTACGATTTGGTTTTCACTGGGAGGGTTATAATCAAAGCAGTAATCTTTCAGTCCTTTGTTCTGGAGCTAAACAAAACATAAAAGTGGCATTTTGGTCCAGATTTATACACAATGTACGATCCCACCCAAGGCTGTGAGGGTAATGACTCCATCAGAGAGGAGTGTCTGCCTCACGAACTGAACTTAATGGTAAGAGCCCCTTACATTTCGAGTTTAGAAAGTGCTTTCCCATTCTGTACCATAGGCAAGAAGCATAACCCCCGTTTTAAGATGACAAATCTGAGTTGCAGACAGTTTAATTCTTTATGGCCTGGAAGCTCCTATCTCTCCAGTTCTCATTAGTGAAGCCTTATTGCTGCACTAGTCCAAGCATAGCTGGGATGTTGCCTCACATATGTCCCAAGGACGCCTGTGAGTATGCATCTGCAAAAAGATATCCTGATTGAGAGACTCACCAGTCCACAGATTAGAAGTCCACCATTCTAGACTACAAGAATAGCATAATACAGAGCCAATGACTTGCCCAAGGTCACACAAGTAGAGACACCTGAGTCTGAATCCAGGACCTCAGCTCCAAGTCCAGTGTTCTCTCCATCACTCAATGCTGTCTAATCTAAGGTCATCTCTAAGGTGCCTTTTAGATCTAAAACCCTTCAAACATTCTAAGAGCAAAAAACCATGCTCCCTCTTCCCTTTCAGGAGCCTCTAGGGAAAGACACATACCTTTCCAAATCCCTTTCTGGAGAGTTCAAAGACCCCTCAACGAACTCCTTGTGAACCCCACTCCTGTCCTGGCCCTTGTCCAACCTTGACTTGTCTGTTTCTGAAGATAAGACTCAGCTATATAGAAAGAAGTTTCCACAATCCACCAGCTCATAGAGCACAGACTTCCGTGTTCTTAGAGTCTCTTTGCTTTGTGAATGAATCTGGGAACAGGAGATGTTTAGAATAATCAGAGTATCTTAGACTTGGAAGGGTTCAAACGTCATCTAGCCATGTCTTGACCACCAAAGGACCTTGACCTCAAATGAGCTCCCTATGTTCAGAAAGATTTGAAACAAACTACAAAAACACTAAATGAGAGGTGGGAAGCTCTAAAGATTAAAACTGAGATTAACTAACCAAGCTAGCTGTATCAAGTTGGTGAGACACAGAAAAAATATTAAATGACTTTAGAACATTCCATGTTTTTTTTAACTATCCCATATTTGATTACATTTTCTTAGTGAACTATATTCTATAAACAAATAGATCTGCAAAGAAATCTTAAACCTCATTCAGTATCACACTGTCAGTGGTAATGGTGTGTTATTTTGAAACTACTTTAAATATAGTTTAAGATAAAGCAAATAATATGTGAATATTTTTTGAAACTAAGATTTTCAGTGTAAGAAAAAAGAAATACAAGTATTGGAGCACCTGGGTGGCTCAGTCGGTTAAGTGTCTGCCTTTGGCTCGGGTCATGATCCCAGGGTCCTGGGATCGAGCCCCGCATCGAGCTCCCTGCTCAGCGGGGAGCCTGCTTCTCCCTCTCCCTCTGCTGCTCCCCCTGCTTGTGTGCACTCTCTCTCTTTCTCTGTCAAATAAGTAAATAAAATCTTCAAAAAAAGAAAAGAAAAAGGAATACAAGTATAATACCAAAGAAGAAAAAAATCCTGTCAGATTACATTTGAATTTGAGGTAACAGTATGAGCTCACGATTTGTTTCTCAAAAATATGCATTGCCTTTCTCTGCCCACTGAAAAGCTGTAGTGTTGTGCTGTCCCACGTGGTACCCACTGGCGGTGTGTGGCCACAGGGTACCTGAAATGGGACTATGTCCACACTGAGATATGCTGTAAGCATAAAATACACAGCAGATTTCAAGACTCAGTATGAAAATAAGTAATGCATCTCAAAAAATTTTTACATCAACTACATGTTGAAATGCTAATATTGAGGATATATTGAATTAAATAAAATATGTTATAAACTTCACTTGCTCCTTTTTTAAAACACGGTTACTAAAAAATGTCCCATTACTTATGTGGCTAGCATTACGTTTCTGTTGTGGAGTGTGCTCTAGAGACAAAGACCACCACTGGTGTCCAGACTGTGGGCTCTGACCACAGCTCCCCACGGAAAGGGTCGGGGCTTCTGTGAGACATGGCAGCAGATGTAGAAAATGAGTGTGACCAGACTCAAGGAGGCGATCAAACCACTATAAGGAGTGAAGACCACAGAAGCCAAAATAAAGAGATTCTCACTAGCCAAGGATGGGCAATCTGAACAGATCAAACACACACACACACACACACACACACACACAACAGGTTAATTGATTGAAGCACATTGGCCATATAAAAACGCGCTGGTTTACAATGATGCTCAAGCAAAGAAAAAGCCAAGAAGCAAATGAGCCAACAAACAAACAAAAACAACCCATTCCGCCCAGCTGGAGGACAGTGGAGTGCCAACTCTTACCCTGAAAACAGGCAAATAAAGAGAAAGACTTAAAAATGTGTTATGCCTTTTCTGGATGAACCCTAAATTTCGTAGACATCAAACTGTCCTGGTTAACAAGGGAACATTCTTTACAGAAGAAATGAAAGGACTAGAAAAAGCACCGTTTGGCAATGCGATTTGAAATACGGGTCTAGGGCCCGCTTCGGCAGCATATGCTAAAATTGGAACGGTATGGAGAAGATCAGTGTGGCCCCTGCGCAAGGCTGACATGCAAATTTGTGAAGCCTTTCATATTTAAAAAGAAAAAAAAGAAATACGAGTCTAGGCAATGGTTATCAACGGCCACCAAAAACAGGAGAGAGAAAGTAGAAGCAGCCCCTGACAGCGGCTGGTCCAGGACAGGCTCCCTCATCAGTAGCGCAGGATGACCAGAGCTTAGGGGCTCCCCGCCGTGACGCAGTCGGAACACAGGGCACACCCGTGAGGTGCTCCTGCCATAAAAGGTCGATTCCCACTCCAATCAAACCTTTAGACCTCATTTCCAGTTTAAGAACTGTGGGGAGAGGCACAGTTTAAAAGACACCACAGGGAAACAATGAGGTAACTCCAAGGGTGAGACGCTCTACAGGACAACGGATGCTGTTTTTTCACCACGTATTAGCAAAAGGGGGGGAAGAAAGGGAAGCGGTCTGCCTCAGCTGAAAGAGCCAGGGGAGGAAAGACATGGCAGCCAAACACAATGGTAGACCGGGTGTGGATCCCAGGTGGAACCAGCCAACTACCCCAAGAAAGATGTGAAAAATCGGGGGAACCTGGTAAGGGCTAGATAGTGAAGGATATGAAGAAATGATTGCTCCTCTGGGTGTGATAGTGGTTTGTGGTCCTGTAAGATCATGTCCGTACAGACGTGCATGTGACAGTGACCAGGAGTGAAATGACAGGATGCCTGGGGTGTGCCTGAGCAAAGAAAAACGAGAGAGGATGGAGCCGAGGAGACAGAAAGCAAGAGAGGCAAAATCATGATGATTCTAGACTCTTCGGGACAGGGTTCCTTACACCATGCCCTCTGCTTGGATGTTTTCACAAGGAAAATTGAATTTAATGCATTAATGGCCTGCTTTGTACTTATTTTGTGTGTGTGATTATTTATTTAAGGTCCATTTCCCTAACAGACAATATACTTCTTAATGGTGGGACAGTGGTTGCTCTTCTGCCATCAAACCCCCGATGCCCAGAGCAGTGCCTAGCGCAGGGTAAATTCCACATCAATATTAAAGTTGGAAAATTCTGAAAGTTACAGATACTCTTGAGAAGCACAAATATGTTGGGTGAGTAAGGGAAAACTTCATTAGAAGAGGCAGAGATTTAAAAACAATCAAGAGACCACACATATTAGGGAGATAGTTGTTTATGGTGTTTACTTATTTTTTTGTTTTTTTTTTTTAGATGACTAAAGATGTAATTGGTTCTGATTTAGTTCACAGTTGTGGAGAACTTACATTCCATGCAATGTGCTTGCAATTTTCTCTCTCTTTTTTTTTACCTTCAGAGGTAGAAATTAGTGATTCATCAGATGTATATAACACCCAGTGCTCATTACATCACGTGCCCTCTTTAATGTCCATCACCCAGTTACCCCATCCCCAACTCACCTCCCCTCCAGCAACCCTCAGTTTGTTTCCTAGAGTTCAGCGTCTCTTATGGTTTGCCTCCCTCTCTGTTAATCATCTTATTTTATTTTTCCTACCCTTCCCCTACGTTCATGTGTTTTCTTAAATTCCACATATGAGTGAAATCATATAATTGTCTTTCTCTGATTGACTAATTTCACTTAGCCTAATATCCTCTAGTTCCATCCACGTCATTGCAAATGGCAAGATTTCATTCTTTTTGATGGCTGAGTAATATTCCTGTGTGCGTGTGTGTGTATGTGTGTGTGTGTGTGTGTGTACACACCACATCTTTAGCCATTCATCTGTCGATGGACATCTGGGCTCTTTCCATAGTTTGGCTGTTGTGGACATTGATGCTATAAACATTGGGGTGCACGGGCCCCTTTGAATTACTATGTTTGTACCCTTCGGATAAATACCTAGTAGTGCAATTGCTGGGTCATAGGGTAGTTCTATTTTTAACTTTTTGAGGAACCTCCATACTGTTTTCCAGAGTGGCTGTACCAGTTTGCATTCCCACCAACAGTGTGGGAGGGTTCCCCTTTCTCAACATCCTTGCCAACATCTGTTATTTCCTAGGATTTTGATGGATTCCTGTCTCACATTTAAATCTTTCATCCATTTTGAGTTTATTTTTGTGTATGGTTTAAGGAAATGGTCCAGTTTCATTCTTCTGCATGTGACTGTCCAATTTCCCCAACACCATTTGTTGAAGAGAATAGCTTTTTCCCACTGGATATTCTTTCCTACTTTGATGAAGATTAGTTGACCATAGAGCATCCTGCTTTGTATTTATCAGACTTCGAGAATAGAACACAGGCACTTCTGCTCAACACCACACAGCAGAGGAGACCTCCTTAAGTTAGTGTAATTCCTCCCAAAAGCCAAAGGCACTGGACATTTTAGTTGACTTCATCCCAGAAACATTTCTTTCAGATTCTTTAAAATAACAGAAGTGACCCTTCTCTCTCTACTACTGCCTTTATGAATCCCTGAGTTGGGGATTATTAACTGGTCCAGCCATTGAAGCTTGAAGTAATGTGACACTGGACATGGAAGCACTAAGTGAGCCTTAGTTTCCTCGTCTATACAAATGGGAGGCTTATACTCACCAATTTGGAGATGGCTTCTAGTGCTGACATTCTGGACCTGAGGCCCAGGTGTGGGGAGGAGGAAAGACAGTGCATGAATGCAGGGAGGGGAGGGAGGGAGAGGAAGGCCAGCAGTTCCCATAAAAGGGACCTGTCTTGGCCAGGATTTGTCAATCAGGGAACCCCCTGCCCGCCACAGGCCCGCCTTGCTCACCATCCCGAAGAAGCCAGGCCTGTCTTCAGGCACATGCAGTTCTGGGTACACGTTCTCCAAGAACCACCTGAAGTCCTTACACTGGAGCTTTGCACGGAGCTGCTTCCTCTCAGTCACATCCCCAAAGGGTTCCTGAGAAAACAGCAAAAACAGTGAGTCCCTGCGGGTTACGAACTTCCTGTCAAAGCCCCATCTCCTCGGATGTTCCCTTCCTCAACAGCATTTATTGAGCACCTACTGTATGCTGGGCCCTGCACGGCCTCAGACACGGCTACAGCACCCTGGCAGGAGAGACTGTTACACAAACATCTGCCCTCTTGGGGGCCCTCGCTACAGGGACGTGTGGCCAACTGTACAAGGGAAGGACACAGAGCGCCTGGTCATGAAGTCAGGGAGCCGCCGAGTCCTGGGGCTGCGCTGGACCCCAGGCCCGTGCATCGGTGAGTGCGTGATCACAGACGAGCAAACGTCCGTACGTACGCACACCATGACGTGCTGAACTGCTGCTGATACCTGAGCACCCACTTTCAAACACAGGTTAAGCAACCTCGATGTAATCATGCTCAAAGGCCTTACGTGCTCAACACACTGAGGTTGGAATATATCCTTAGAGTGGTGAGTGCAAAGTGCCACGATGATAAATACTTGCAGAAGGTTAGTTTTCTGGACCAGACCGATGATTAAGAACTTCCATGTAACTGAACAAAAGCAAGTGTCTATTCAGCATGGCCAGAGGCGCAATGCTGAGGGCTGACATATTATTGTCCATGCACCATGATGCTAAAGTATTAAAATCTGACAAGCTAAATATTTAGCAAAATGGTAATGATAGGAAGATGGCTGAGTAAAATTTCAGATTTTTTACTTATTTCCCAGTGGTTCTTTCTTTGGTGAGTCATGGTGTCCTCACCTTCAACCAAATGCCCATTTTAACACTGGGTCCCAGCATCCAGACAAAAGGCGAATGCGGTGGCCCTCTAACACGTTATTCTTTGGGAACCCTCAGGAAGAGGGAACTGGGGCTTCCAGACTGGGTAACGGGAAGGAGCGGATGTTTCCACCCTGCAGCCTTGAGCAGGACAGAGGAAGCCAAACCTGGAGCCCAGAGGCAGAGAGGGGCCAAGGGGGAGGTCAGGGGCAGGTCCACAGGGCTCTGCAAAGCAGGGAGAAGGGTCCATGGGAGGGCACACGCCCCAGGCTCAGCTCTGCCTGCATGATCCACAAGGACTTGGGCAAGCTCTCTGAGCTTCAGTTCTGTCATCTAAAAAATGAGAATCTCGTAGCTATCTTGAAGGGCTGCTAAGGATTCAGAAGAGATTTTCATCAAGTGGCCGGAATCGAGAGGTTTTAGAGCACACCTCGTCTTGCCAAGCGACCCTCTTAGTTATGCAGATGCCGGTGGACACCCTGTCCCAGGGCCTGCAGAGCTGGCCAGTGCAGAAGCCATGGACCTGCTTGCTGAAGTTTATTTGTAGCCCTAGTATCAGTACTTGTGGTTCGACACCTTCACCGTCATTCGCAAACACGCGCAGAGCGGCCGAAAATCACAGTCCCATGGGACGCTCCTAGCTGAGGTCACATCTCAGTCCCATACTGTCAACAAGTGTCCTGTTGGGGCGCCTGGGTGGCTCAGATGGTTAAGCATCTGCCTTTGGCTTAGGTCATGATCCTGGGGTCCTGGGATTGAGCCCCGCATCGGGTTCCTGGCTCAGGGGGGAGCCTGCTTCTCCCTCTCCCTCTCCCCCCTCCCCAGCTCATGCTCTCTCTCTCTCTCTCTGTATCTCTGTTAAAAGGAAAAAATTTAAAAAAAATCTTAAAAAAAAAAACAAGTGTCCTGTTCAGGGTCCGCCTAGTGCCACATTTTCCAGGTTTTGCTGCTCTGTGTTGGTGATTTCACTGGTCAAAAGGCCCCTGAGCACGGTGCTGAAGGGCTGGGTAGCATTCCTAGGTGCAAGAAGGCTGCGCTGGGCCTGACGGAGAAAATACGTGGGTGAGATGAGCTTCATTCATGCGTTACAGTGCTGTTGGCCGTGCGTCCGATGTGAAGAATCGACAACGTGTATTTCCTAATGTCTTCCAACCGAGATACACATGAAACCAAGTTATGTATTGATCAGTTGGCAAAAATGTCAGCCCGCGAGAGGCATGCAGGAACCTAGCCCTGTTGACCCCCAGGAGCAGTGGTCAGTAGTCTGGAAATCAGGGTTGGGCATGACCGCATAGACAATAAGTACTGTGACCAATGAGAAGCAACTGTAGGTATTATTTTAAGTGGAGGAATAAAGGTTTCCCATGCTGGTATCATGGGTGCCCCGATCTATTCTCTATTTCTGGAGCCAGGTCCGCTAGGGTGCGGAGGCCAGCTGGGGTGCAGGAGGGCCAGGGAACTCACCAAGCGGGCATGCGGGTTGCGATGGTAGTAGAGCTCTTTATATTCATCCATCCACACTTCAGCAGCTCGGACGCTGTTGGCCAGAGCCTTGTTGCGGGAGTAGGGAGCTTGCTTGGGGAAAACGTGGCCAACGTGAGAGCAGGGATGTGTCTCCAGGGTCCCGCCGCACTGCCAGATCTGTGCACAGAGCAGGGAGGAGGCTGGTGGGTGAGTGGGGGGCGGGCTGCTGGTCCACAATGCCCACAGCCAGGAGGCTGGGCACACAGACGTCACAATGAATGCTGCCAGGGCCTCGCTCCCCAGGGGACAGGAGGTCACCTCCCCAGCACACGCAGAACACAGAATGCAGTCGAAGAGCAAGAACACAGCCCCAAAGACGAATAAGCCATCGGAAGTGAGACCTCAAAGTCCATGCACTAAGTTCATGCACTTGACCCACAGGAGTACCCATAGCTGACCTCACCGGAGCCCATTTACTCATCATGTAAAACACAGGCTCTTTACCTGGTCTCCTAGCCACAGAAGATAGGAAAGCGGCAAGTAAGAAGAGAGGTTTGGAAGGGGGAAAGGAAGAGCTTCTAGAGGCAGGCAGAGCAGCCTGACACCTAGGGAAGAGGCAGAAAGACCATTAAAAGCACACCCTAAACCTCAACAGGCTGAGTTGTCTGAGACCATTTCATGCGGGTGCAAATGGCTGGAAACACCCCATTGTCCCCAGGATGTGTGACCAGGGTGCTTAGAATGGGGGGTGTGAGTCTTCAGTGGAGGGCCAATTCTTATGAATTCTTTCTAAGCAGGAAACCATATAAAACATTATTGAAATTTAAAATTTTCTATTAAAAAGTATAGACATTGACATAACTTTCTGATACGTCAAAATGCAGGATTTGGTGAATTGGAAACCCCAATGAAATGCTGGAGGTCTCTCCAAGGGGCATCTGTGGGTCATACGCAGCAGAATCAGTAGGTGGGCTTGTTCCAAAAAGCAGATTCCTGGTCCCTACTGACAATCCATCAAACCTGACTTTGTGGAGACTGTACCTGAATCTGCCCTTTTTTAGCAAGTCTCCCTAACAATTCTTATATGTGGCAAAGCTGGAAAGTCACTGTACCAAACAGGGTACTTCATGAGTAATTAAGCAGATCAAGGCTCCAAAAGATGGAATTGGGACACAGGGGCCTGTGTTTGAGCCCAGGGTCTGCCACTCACTATTTGGGTGACACTGACCCAGTCACCTCCCCTGTCCAGGCCCCAGCTCCTCCCTGTTGTAGTGAGGGAAAAGAACTAGGTAACTTGAAAGGCCCTTCCCTGCCCCAAATCTATGAAAAGTACATTTTTTTTTAAGGTTCAAACAAGAAGACAAGCATGTTTCTAGGATGTGTGTACCACTACTATCATCTTTCAGTACTGTTAGATAAAATCTGCCAACATGGAGGAATGTCCACCAGGGTCTCCTGGAAAATCCCATCATTTCCCGCGGGAAAGAAAGAGAGAGAACAGGTTAGAATGAGTCTGAAGAGAAGACTGGAATACTTACCCTAAAGGAGAATTCGAGGTTTTCTCCGCCCCAAACTTCCATTCCCACATCATAAGACCCCAGATATTCAAAATATTTCTTACTCACAGCAAACAGCCCTCCAGCCATTGTTGGAGACCTAGAAAAGTGTGAGAACTGTACTGTAATGTGAGCGGCAGGAAGCCAGCACGGTTGAACTCCTGCCCGCCCCAAGCCCTCCGGCCTGCCCATCCATCTCTAAGCACATCCTGAGTTCACACTCCATGCCAGGCACTAAGCTGGGCCCGAAGGCATACATGTGTCCCACAGTCCCTGCCCTGGGGAAGCTCATGGACACCTCAACCGGCACTGTGTGTGAGAGCACTCAGGTCAAGCCAGAGCCCCGGGGGCATCCAGGAAGAGGCCTGGGGTGGGGGGTAGGGCTCAGCCTGAAGAACACAGGGGAGCTGGCAGAGAAGAGGAATGGGATGGTTCTCCAGGAAGACACCAGCATGAGCAAAGGCCTGAGGGTGAGAGAAAACCTTGTCCTTCTAGAAGCACAGACAACAATGAAAGTCAAGGACAGAGATGTGCTCCCCAAGAGGATGGCTGCAGTGGCCTTGGCCGTGCAGTCACAGGGCGGGCAAGCATGGATGCCCTTATGGCTATAGAAGACCATGAAAGGCAAGTCCATCATCTTAAAGCTCCCCCAGGGCCCATTCGTCTCCTGCATGAGTGGCCTCCCCTGCAGGACCCAGACGGCTATCATTGGCCTTCTTCGTCAGCCGGCCTGATGTTCTCCTCACCAGGCTCCTCTAGAACCAGTACTGGTTCCAGAAAGGGCCCAAGGCTTCTGTCCTACCACAGCAGAAAGCTGTGGGGTCAACACACCAGGAGATGCAGATGCAAAAGGATGCATTCGGAAATGGAGACCTATACTTCATTAAGAGCCTGTCTACAGATGTTACAGCAGCACTTCTGGCCCTTGACAAAGTATTGGCTTTCCCTGCGCTCTAAGCTCAGGGCCAACAAGAAAAGGGCAGCAAGATTCCTTGTGGAAGGGAAGGCTCTAGACTACAAAGCACTCCCATGTGTGTTCTTCCTAAAAGTCTAAGTAGGCAGGGTGGATATGCTTGTACCTATTTCATAGGTGATGAAACTGAGGCCCAGGGATATTAGAGGAAGGGAAGGGGAGTTGGCCACGACATCCCTGAGTTCATGTGTACACATGGGGTGGGGGCATGGGAGTTCATGTCAGCATCCCAAGCTGCATATGTGACCCCAGATAGGATCCTTCCTACTCTGAGCCTCAGTTTACAAAAATCCGTGAAACGTTGGGTAGGATGTCCCTCAGGGCTCCTACAGAAGCCTGGGCATCACCCAACCTCTCCCTTCCCCATTCTCCTTCAGCCTCCCTCAATTCTTCCACTGCAACATCTCTGGGGTCCTCCATTCCCTCCATCTTCTGCACCATCCTTCCTGCCTAGAAGACCAGGATGCCTCCTAACGATGTCCCTGCCCCCTGCCCCACCCCCTGCAGGCCCCTCACAATGTGGCATCCAGCAACCTTTAAAGAATGCAACAGGCAATGGTCATTTCCAGCTCAAATCCCTTCGGCGGCTTCTACCTTCTCCAGGTAAAGTCCAAAGCCCTGTCCTTGGCCTTCCAGGCTGGACGTGACTTGGCCCCATTTCTCTCTCTTCCCCCATCTCTCAACACTGTCCCCACAGGCATTTCCCTCTGGCCAGAAGTGAGTCATTTCAGGGTCAGAGCTCAGGTGGGAGATCCAGAAGCCCAGCTGCCAAACATGGGTGCAGATCTAAGACACCATTTCCAGCTTGGTACACCGGCAATAAAGTTGATGTTTGACCTCCATCTGCCTGATTCCTGTATCTGCCTCCCACCTGGTCCTGAACTCGGAAGGAGAGGAAGAAGCCATACTATTACTTCAACGCCTCAAAGAATGAGAGCAACGGAGCCCCCTTTGAGCCCACTCTTCTCAGACCCAGGCTCACTCACTGACTGGCCAAAGGTGGCTGATTCAGCCCCAGGCCCACCTATCCCCCAGTTGAAAAAGGGCCTGACAGCACGTCCTCAAAATGTTAAGCTTGAAATTACCATAGGACTCACCCAATTGCGCTCCTAGGTATACACCCCCAAAAATGGATAACAAGGACTCAAACAGATAACAGTACCCCATTCACAACAGCATTGTTTACGGTAACCGAAAGGTAGAAACAGGGCACCTAGGGGGCTCAGTTGGTTAAGCGTCTGCTTTCAGCTCAGGTCATGATCCCGGGGTCTTGGGATCAAGCCCCGCATCGGGCTCCCTGCTCAGTGGAGAGCCTGCTTCTCTCTCTCCCCCCC